CCAGCATTCTGACTGCATTGGGCTTCATCATATCAACCCTGGTGGTGTCATTGATGCCTGCCGGCCGCAGTGGTACACCAACACCCCCAAGTGGTGGCGCCAAAGACTGGATAAGAAAACACCTGAAATCCCTCGGGGAGGCCCTGGCTAAACTGGCTGGTAAGGCCGCCGAAGCCCTGCCCGGCATCCTGGGTAGCATCGTCTCGTGGCTGCTAAGCGCTCTGGCTAAAACTGCCACGTGGCTCGGTCAAAACCTGTGGGCAGCCATCGTCGCCGTTGCGGGTCTGGTGTACGTAGTGGCTAAGGAATTTTTAACCAAATGAGTCCCAAACCGGCCGCGACCCCACCAACCACCAGGGCTGTTTTACGGTCGATTTGCTGCTGATTGGACGCCTGCTGTTGGGGCTGTGGGGGTGTGGGTTGAACCCTAGGCTCTGGGGGTGGCGCCACTATACCCGTTTCACCGGTCGTGGGTGGCGGGACTTGGGGGGTGTTAACATCGGGGTTGACGCCCAACTTTTGGTCTGCCGTGGCTATGACTATTTCGTTGTTGTAACCCACCACTTTTTTTACTCTCAGTTGCATATCGCTCGGATCCATGTACAGTCCCACGTCGAACATATAGTCGACTTTCGACCGGGCGTATTCCAACACGTCTTGGTAGCGTTTGATGGCACTCGGTAGATCAACTAGAGCATTGATAGCATCCTCAACATTAACAACGAACTGTTTCTGCGCGTCGTAAGCAGTCCCCTTGGAGCGCGTTTGCGTCTGTGCACCCAACAGCGCCCACACGTACGTTCGAATCGAGTCGTTCAAGCGTTCGGTGCCGGCACAAGTAAACCCTTTCGACCTGTCCAGCATGAACATTTTCCAATCATCCGCGGGCCCCTGCTCGAACCTCCAGACTCGGTAATCCTTGCTGTCATCGAAAGCTATGTAACGGTCATCCCACTCGTTTGTTGTGATATGATACGACTTGTAACCCCAATCTTTCACCAGCTGTTTGCTGGCTTCCGCGATATGCATATTGTGAGCGATGGGGATACCCAACCCATGGTTCGGGCCCGGCAAACGCCAATCCGTCTTCGGGTCTAGTTCGAATTCGTTGCAAACGCGTTCGTAGGCCCGTCTATCGTACTGGTTGTTTACTGCGTCCCATGCTTTGTCCTGTGGGATCGGAGCGCTGATCTCTTTGAGGATACGCCTGACCTGGTAGTACACGTGGAACGTGAACACAGACTGACTCAGCGGTCCCCGCCGAGTGTCGGCCAATGTCACACCACACCCCGTCGTAGCGCACCACACAGCGAAGTTGAGTTGATTCTGCCAGAACTGCATCGGGTTGTTGAACCAAGCGTGGACTACCTTAGCGTTAGTCACCGAAAACCTATACCTAGCAAATACATCTATAAACTGGGCGTCGAAATACAACCCAGGAGCGACCACGATCTTGTGTGGGAAATCTATGTCCAGTTTAGGGTAAAACACTCCCGGCTTGTACATTTTTAAAGTATTATATAATGGATATATATACTCTAACATGTACGTAACACTTCCAGGAATAACGAGCGGCGAGGCCGTTCAGCTGATGCACATGATCGATAACATGTCGGGTCAACTCGAAGTCGCACTCTGCGATATCACCTACCTACCGCGATGGACTAACATCAATGTCAACGACAACAAGCTTTTCGTCAGTGGCGCCCGCAATCAGATAACTGACGGCTACTACAGCGTGTGCTCGCTAAGCGACGAGGTCTTCAAGCCCCTGGGAGCCGAACTCAAGATGAACGACTCAAACGGCACAGTGGTGTTAATCAACAACGGAAGAAACTCCTTGAGGCTCGGTCGACCATTTGCGAGGACACTCAGTATGTCGCCTGACGAGATAAAACCAACAACTACCGTCACAGGCACGAAGTTACCCGACCTAGTACCGTACCGAGAGCTGTGCATTCATCTCGGCCAGCTGAGCACAATGGACAACATTCAAGGGGGTCACCCTTCCACGATACTGAGAGCCGTACCGGTGAAAACGGAGAAATACAACGACGGCAGAACCGAGTCGTTTTCACCGCGGCAGTATAAGAGGTTAACTCGGGGCAACATCCCTGAGCTGGTAATATCGGTGTTAGATATAAATCATAATCCCGTGAATATAGGATACCTCAGCATAACGCTGCACATAAAATGACTAGCGCACAAGGCCCCGGGATGAAGTTGAAAAAATGCATCAATGCGTGGATCTCCGACCTCGGGGACACACGCGGATTCGACGACCCCGGAGAAGATGGTAAATTGTACGCCTTGCAACTGAAAACAACATTTACAAACGCGTTGAAGTCCCCTCCGGTGGAACACTAGGTGATATAGTAGATACCTCAAGAGCGGTCGTCAACACTCGGTACGCCCTAGTCAGCACCGGTGATGATAAATGGATAGTATACCCATCGTTCGGGGGCAAACTGTTCGACTTAGAAGATGTTGAGAGCACTACCGTCGCCCAGAACAAGCCATATACGCACGTCTTCACCGACTACGACAAGTGGGTGTTGTTGCCCGCTAAAGTCGACTGGTTTCTCAATATTAGGCTCGGCTCCCCTACGTGTTCACGGAGAACAAAGACAACTACCTAAACAAAGTCGTGAACAACGGAACCCTGCTCAGAGGCATAGCGTAGTCATCAGCCCAGCCGCCAGTATGGCAGCCCACATACTATCGAGTAAACCGGGGGTGCAAAACGTGACATTGCAGTTGGTGTCTGAATTCGCTGGCGTGGTCAACATCCTGGAGAGTCTACCGGAGAACGCCACTCTGATCATCAAAGTCTACCTAGGGGAACCATCAAAGGATGAAGTCGAAATCGTGAAGGGGGTCAAACTCGGGTGGGTGAAACGGCACCAGTATCAGGTTTGCACTGTTTACGTGCGGGTGGGTGCAGACTCCCACACCAGTCTGCAGGGGGTCACCATGACCGTGGAAGACACGATATCACTCACCAAGATCTTCCTACCCGACAACATACACTTCATGGGGTTGAAGTGCGCCCCTAAGATATTATCAGAAAAACAATTGGAAACTATCTCGTAATAGTAATATATCAATGCCCAATCATCGCCCCAACGCCACACTTAACGATCTAGGGGACACGGAAGGATTCAATCAGCCTGGCGAGGAAGACACCTCGTACGTCCTACACTTGAAAGACAATGTGTATAGGCGGGCAGCAATGGCCGATCATCTGCCCAAAATCACACTCGGGGGTCTAGGAGGCACAAAGGGGTTCGATTGGCCCGGCGTGGACGGCACCTCGTACGCCCTGCGCTTAAGAGATGGTGTGTACGTGCGAGTGCCTCTGGCAGACGACTTTAGAGAGCCCGAATGGTTGATCAACATGACCCTCACCACACCTTACGTCTCTTTTCGTAGTGGTGGGCCTATCACTAGGGATATCGCCGAAATTAAGAACAGCGGTATCTTGGTCGGGAGGTTTCATTCCACAGGCCCTCAAAATATGAGAATTTCCCAAACCCCAAATCGCCCGGGTTACATGTTAGATACAACCGGGAATGCACGGTTATCATTTGAAATATACGCTGACCTACCATATTCTAGGTTTATACCTCCAGGCTCCACATTAATCATAAAACTCTTTTTAAAAAACGCCCGTAGGGTCTCATGGGACCTTTTATCTGGGGTGGAAATAAACTCATCTGTTGATTCATCTAAAGACCGCCATTGTAGTATCGTCATACCACGGAACTCGGACTCCTCACAGAGGTTTCTGCCCCCCTTGATAAGCCCCCATATATTTCGTATAAGGCAAGAGTTACCTATTGACCTTTCCAGAATTCACCTACCCGAGAACGTAGGCCTTAGAAGCCTCAAGTACATTGATCGACTATTAACTGAAGCCCAATTAAAAAATATCTCATAAGATATATTATAGGCACATAGGATGGATCTGTACCCAGTCGCAGAGGAAGTAGCGAAGCCCCTGGAAACCGTAGACTGGTTCCGCTTGAGCCAGTTATGCGACATAAAACGCCAACTAGAACAAGACCGCGACACACGGGCAGCATTGTATAAGAAGTACCATAGAGCTTTCAATGTCGTGGATGGTGTTGATACCGCCCTTATGGCTACCAGTATGGGGTTAGGTGCAGTAGGCGTGGGGTTGTTGGCCATCATCATAGCCGCACCCGCAGTGCTAGGCATAGAAATAACAGCTAGGGTGTCAGGGTTGGCTGGATTGGTGTTTAAGTTTGTGTCACGCAGACTGCACTGGAAGGCATTGAAACATGACGAGATCAGGATTCTGGCTGAAGCAAAGCTGAACACGGTAAGTGAGCGTATTTCTACAGCACTCACTGACAGTAAGATCTCAGAGGAGGAATCTCGTTCAATCCTCTCTGAACTCAAGTACCGTAAGATGAAACAAGAAATCCGGCTCAAGTCTCGTAAGTCTGCTATCGGCGAAGACGAGAAAAAAAGTACATAGAACAAGGGGTGCGAAACATTAAACTGTTTCACAAGACATAGTGCCACGTGATCAGGTTCGAGGTCATAGCGGCACAGTAGTGCCACGTGGGGTCGGGAAGTTAACTGGGGGTTCAAAAGTAGTAGATACAATGGTGGCGAGATCTAAGGGCCTAACAAAAGCTTTATTTGTGAAATAAGGCTTTGCAGAGGCTTTTGTTGGACTTGATCCCGGACTATCATTATATATACTACTCCACCTGCTTCGTGTATTAGTGGAAGGCTGTTGGTTCGATCACCATGTCGTCTTGCCTAAAGACGTTAAAGATGATCCTTGTACTTACCTTGTCCGATATTCGGCATTACGGTAAAAAAAGACATCAAAAGCCCGGACAAGCACACGTGTGCACGCACACTGGTACGGGTTTTTTTCTGAGGTGGGCAACGTAATGTTGATTTCTCAATGTATCCATGCAGTGACTTTACAATGTGTTGTTCTTTTAACTGTTCATTGACAGGTAGGATAAGTATTATGGGAATCAACTCGTTTGGCTTTGGAGGAGTGAATGGTCATCTTATCCTCATGTCCTACAAGAACCCACCAGATGAATGCAAAAGTAAGGTTTCCTGAAACATTCACTGAATATATTGGCTCCGAAATGTGAGTTTGAAAATAAGAGACATATACAAGCTTCATATGGGTAAATAATTGTTACTATGAACACTATGAAATTTTGTTTATGGTTTGTTTTATATCACAAACATATGGCAAAAACCAAGTAAATAAAAACTGATGAATACAGCGTGGTACAAGCATAGACATGTATGGTGTAATTATCAACACTATCACTCTATGTAATGTTCGAAGTACGTCTTGTTATTAGAGGCAGGAACTTATCTTGTGCCCCTCACCGTCCGGAGCGAAGAAGGCATAGCAAGGATACGCACGTTCCTTGAGAAGCACTCGGAAAATGTGGCACTATTGAAGCTTATGAGTAGATCCATGCTGTCGTGCGACCCACGTCAGCAGATCAGGGGTTACGCCATAGTGGATCTGCCAGAGATCGGTAAGAATTTTGAATATTTCTGATCCTTCAAAATGAACATCCCGTTCCATTCATTACAGGGAATAAGTGTTGGCTAATTCTTCGCGTCCTCGTATTATAAGCTGATATATATTGAGAAAAGATTTACTCTCCCATTTGACTGAGACAGAAATGTTTGATGTGATAGTGATAGAATCGGATGCTCATCTATATATGGGGTAGGATATGGTTTTTCATTCAATTCAAGTTTTATGTTTACCCATTAAGACGTTAATAGATAGCACATTATGCCTGCACTCGGCATTAAGGGTATCCATGTTAAACTCTGGCATAGAATCTCCGTGAACTAAAGCTAGCACTATAAAACCAGCATTTCCCTAGACTGGTACATTCATGCCCACATGCGCCCATACAGTGTATAGAAGTGTAATAATTTTCAACGTGAAGTTAAACCCAAGTCAGTAACATGATGGCCTTTCAAATAATTACTTAGCCTCAGATCATATACTTCTCACAATGATAATTTGAACCACTAGAAGCCAAATCTCAGGAGTTTGTACAGAGATAACGAATCATGCATTTCTGATTCATCTGACTTAATTTACACAAATGTTTGAGAACCGATCTTCATCGATCTTCAAAGTAAATGTATTGCTTACAATGCAGTATGTAGAACATCAGCAACAGTCACATACACGGTCAAGGTCACCACTGGCAGCAAATTCGGGGCTGGAACTGATGCGAATGTGTTCATCGACCTCCAAGGAGACTTACAGAAGTCGGGTATGTCATTGTTGAAACCTATGCCTTGTTTGCTAGACCCTTGGGAATACATAAGAAGGAATCCATGCCTCAGTTCCAGAAAGTCTCAGGATTGCTCTGGGCTCTATTTGGATGATATTTCTCATTTTTCCTTATCCTGACTCAAGCTATATTGCTTATCTCCCTTTCCCTTTCGGTAAACTTGTATCCCTTTGTTCCCAAGAACAGTCAAAATAAACTCGCCCATCGGAAGCCCCACTTTCCCACCAAAAGCCGCCTCACGTGACCTGAGACATGCCCTCTCATCAATCTCTCCTTCATTGCTCAAGCGGGCGGTTTCCTGGGTAACTGTTACGGCTTATATCCTTTTGGACAGATTTTCAAATTAAGGCCGTGAATTGTATTTTAGGACACTCCATTTCAGGTGACTGTTTCTGCATGGTGGCATGTAAACAATGCAGGTCACGCATCTCAGCGGCTGATCAACACCCTGTGTGTTCTTCTTGCGTTAACACATCGTGTTCTCTTGCCACACGTTGTAAATATTGTGCACATTTATCAATATTTGCAAAGTAGAAGTCTTTGTGAGGCTCTCACAGCAGACGACTACTACAGGGTTCATGACCCTTCCAAGCAGACTCGTCATGAGACAGCTGCACCATCAGCCAGGCAGTCAACACTAACCAGCGAACCCTCCTGCTAGCAGCCAGCCTACATCTGCGCAGTCTATTCACGCCATTCGTTAGTCCAAGAATGGGTTTGTGAACCCTTCTACGCAGCTGATCACTAATCGCCAGCGTCCGCAGTCTAGCAACCCTTTAGCTTTGAGAAGGCTACTCTCTGGCTTCGCTGGATCCTCTCAACAAATTGTCTACTACGGTTTCACGTCGGCCTCCGGATCCTTTAGCGCAGCCCTTTAATCAGCAGGACGTCATGGACCAGATTACCAGGAAGATGGTCAAGGCAATCGATGTAGCAGCTCTCTACAGAACTCTAGCATCCCCTCATCCACGAGGAAATTCCGGCTTCGGACGACAACGCTTAGGAGGATCTAGACCCAACCATCTATACTGACTCTGAGATAGTATCCAGGGTTGCAGATGGCTTGCCGATATCTTCACCAACTCGTGACTCCAACTCGACCTATTGCATCAAAGTTGACAACCTCGACACTTTGACGATTCCTACCATGAAGCAATTATCGCAGGTCCTGGAGAAGCTGAAGACGGCCTTTGTGAAGGCTACGAGGTCCCAAGGGCAGCATACCCTTCGTTCAGGGCCAGGAACTTCCCGCTTCACAAAATGGAACCATTCCTCAAGGCTCCTGAGATAGATGAGGTTACTCACCACTCAGCGACTCAGTCACAAAGTTATAGAGTCGATGACAAGAACTTGGCGCAACTCGACACTACTACTACAAGGGCGTTCTTCGGTGGACGTCTAGGCTACTACTGGGAGAATTGGAGACTAGAAGACGATCAAGTGCTGCGAGAAGGGTACGAGATCCAGTTCAAGGCGACGCCTCCACTTACGGTCAACCCACAGGTGCACAGATACACCAAGTTACAACGCATCAAGTTGACTGAGGCCATTGACTCGATGCAAAGAACGCCGTAGAGATCCTAGATCAACACAGTCTCACCTCCGGCTTTTACTCTCCAATTTTCCTGGTACCAAAGAAGAACTCCAAAGATAAGTTCCGCCTCATCTACAACATGAAGCGTTTCAACCTAGACTACTTTCTGAAACCAGACAATTCCACGTCCTAGCATTGTCTACGATCCTCTGACCACATGTAGCACAAGACCTGTCCCTGTGCCCAATAAACCCTTTGAAGATCTACTTGGGAAGGACTGCTACAAGGAGGGAGTTCAAGCATCTCTTCATCCCGCTATCACCCGCCACAACTTTTGAAGTTTTGAACGATCTCGTTTTGGAACAGCTGTCATCCTACGAGCCTACAGAGCAGCTGGGCTGGATCTTCCTAGAGCTTCCAACCCTCACGAAGTTAGAGCACTAGCCTCGACACTCAACCTACATTGGAACTGCTCTTTATTGTTCATTACGGAAGGCTGCTTTTGGAAGTCTGACACAATGTTCACCAACCATTATCTTCAGGATATGGCTACAGAAGATGTATCCGGTATCCACAAGTTCGGCCCTCTTGTTGTAGCGCAACAATCCGATTCCTGCCAGATAATGAGATACTCACTCTTGTCACGCTGACTTGTAGACGCCAGGCCGGCAGAGAGTCCATGCTCCACTGTCTTACGAGATAAGTCAGTGCATGACTGATATAGACTCAGTTTTGGTAACGTTCTTGCCTTAACAGATGAGATTGCTCCCAGGGGGTTTATCAGGAGACGCTATGTTCACCGATTCAGTCACATTGAGTCCCGGTAGGTGGCTGACCCACCACCTGTTCCGTCGGATTCCTTAAGCATATAGCATGACTCGGGATAAGGAAAATAATCTAGGATAAAATTGATATTTTATACTTATCCTGACTCATGATTTGAAGGGCCCTGCCAACCGTCCTCTCTCAGCACTGCGGGCCTCCCTGTAGTGCGGGCGAGAGAGTGACAAGAGCATGCCAGTGTTCAGGTCACATGGGACACTTTTGCGGGAAAAGGTAGGTAACCCACTGGGTGAGTGATTTTACGTTTGCTTAAGGGAGCAAAGGGATTCAAGTTTCCACGTAACCGTTTGAAGGGAAAGGGAGATAAGCATATAGCACGAGTATAAAATATCAATTTTATCATAAAAATTACAATTGTTTCATTCCGTAGATAGTTTCTAACCATGAAAACTTTCTTCTGGAACTAAATGTCTGTTATGATACTCGTGTAACTTGCACAGGTTTGCTCAAATAATGATAGGTGATTGTCCAGTGACCAGAAACGTTTGGAGTATAAATCATTCATTATATATTCGATGGGTATGCCTTCCAGGGAAGATAGATTTGAAGGAAAGCAAAACACCCGAAAAACAGTTTGAAAGACGAAATACAGACGAGTTCCTTATCACAACAAAGGACGTTGGACACCTGCAGAGAATTGTGTGAGTCGACTCTCCCAAGACACAACTCCAACCCCCAACCCCACCCCCGAGTAATTGTTTCTTGTATTGCTTTAGTTAGGATGACCAATGATAGTGATGTGTGAATTGTCAGTTCTAATTCACAAACAAGAAGCCGTTACTAGAGGGCGCAACTAGAAGGTTGCAGATGTTAAACCGACTTTGCCAACTGTGCGCTTTGTTTATTTAACAGATAATGAACCAACCAACAAGTATTAATTTTTTTAAATTGGGATACTTTCAGTATCAGATTGTGAGTAGTGAGTGGCATGTTCTCTTTCGTTTTCATAAAAGGACATCATAATCCATATGAGACAAAACAACCTTGTTTTCCTACTTGAACTACCAGGATCGGCCATGATGATAAAGGTGCAGCTGCCTCCTGGTTCTTGGGTCACGTGACCGTCCACTCTTCATCTCTGGACTTTACGTGGACATTTCCTTGTGAACGATGGTTAGCCGAGGATGAGGATGATGGACGTATTATGAGGGAGTTGCTTCCCAAACAGAAATGTCCTTTAAGTCAAGAGCCTTGTAAGTGCTGTCCATGTTTCCTTGATCATGCACATTCCAAACTGTCAGGTGTCTTGAAAATTAGCAGTATCTTCCAGATATACCTTCAGTATCCTTTGCGTCATTTGTGATGACAGTACTGTGCATCTTACCCCACGCGACACAATGAATGTATGTGTAATGAACCGGGGCGGGGGGATAGTCTAGTGGTTAAAGCGTTGGCTCGTCACGCTGAAGACCCGGTTTCGAATCCCCTCATGGGTACAATGAGTGAAGCCCATTTCCGGTGTCCCCCCGCCGTGATATTGCTGGAATATTGCTAAAAGCGGCGTAAAACCCAACTCAGTCAGTGTAATGAACCTCATCACCTTTGTTTCAATACACTATTTGCCAGTTTGTACATCTACGGATATTGACAAGCAGACCTCATATGTTTGCTATTGGACTTCAAACGACAATGTATGAGCTTCCTTTGTGTTTGCCGGTCAGCTTGCGGCTTCAGAATTATATACTAATATTAAATTCACACGATTTCGTACTTCAAAATTCAAACAGACTAGAAAATCAATATAGGTTTCAAAACGTCAGTGCCAGCAGTGTACACATAGTGAACGTTCACTGTTTGTTGTTGATGCTAAAGGTGTGTCCGTCTACTGGTCGCCACGCCAGCAACACCGACCTCCCTTGTGGCTACTAGTACAGGATATAGCCTGGCGCAGCAACATGCCACACGCGGACCTGCTGCAGCTGGGCGTATTCAAGCAGTCTCTACAGGAATCTGACGAGGTCAGTAATCCGTTCAGATCATTTAATACAGTTAGTCAGGGTAAGAATAGGTCAGTTGCAAACTGAGCATCAATATGAACCCGGTCGTCAGGCTTGTTAATTTTTGTGTTTTCATGTTGTCCGCTGACGGCTTGAACGTTGCTCACTGCCCGTCACTGGATTGTCTGGTCGTGACTGGATTATTGTATCGTTGTACAGTAGCTGGTATAATGTTGATTTGAACGTTAATACAGACACAAGACACACAAACACGAATGATTGAATCCTTATATAGGTGCAGCAAGTAAGAAAGTATCTGTTCATTATCTACTGCTCAGAACTATGTATATTCCTATGTGAAGCCCATTTCTGGTGTCCCCCTGCCGTGATGTTGATGGAATATTGCTTAAAGCGGCGTAAAACCAGATTCAGTCAGTCAGTCAGTATATTCCTATATGAATAAGCAAAGCATATGGTATGGTACAATTGCAATTGTGACTGATGTCATATAATGATATACTGATAATTTCATAATTACCCCCCGCAGTTTTTATCGTTTCTAGATTCTTCGCAGCCTGGAAACAGATGTATCTGTAACAGAGAGTTTGGAAAAGGAAGCAGCATTTAAACCTGCCACCAAAGTCGGTCTAGTTTGTTTGACAGCTGTTAATATAGGTAATCTGTATGACAGACACTTGCAATAAATATCATCATTAATCAACTTCGCCGGACTCTGTCCCCAACCCCAGATTCTGTTGACAGACCACTGCCATTTAACTGAAATACTGCTGGGTGCTGCGTTAACGAAACAAATGAAAAAGATAACTAATTTTGCAATCGATGTTTCAAAATTTAACAGGTCCCGCAGTACTTACTAATTCCTTTGATAGGATTCGTTTATCATAATTATTTACAAACGAAGCGACAGAAGTGTTTTGTACAGATGTTAATACGTTGCAGCATCTACGTTACTAAAGTTTATCACTGTTATTGCTATAATTTGCTAACGATTGATCGATATATATCCCAGTCAAAGATAGTGTTCTATTGGTTATCTGTTGCTTATATAGGTTTGATGGAGGTTCTCAAAGCATCAGGAATACGCCCAGATGGCTTTATAGGATCGGGACTGTCGGAGATCACAGTCGCCTACCTTGACGCTTGCCTCACTCACAAACAGTGTCTTCAAGTAGCATTGGCAATTGGGGAGACTCTGGAATCCCTTTTGACTGAGGGCAAAGGTAGGTCAACGTCTGATTCTGTAGCATTTGTTGTTAAATATTTCGCCCATTAGATGGTACTTGTTCGAATCCCAGAATCGTTATGACTCGTGGTGTGCTTGTGCTTCTAGCTGTCATTTATGTGGTTCGCCCATCGTCCATCTAGGTGAGTGAGTTTAGTTTTACGCTGCACTCAACAATATTCCAGCTATATGGCCGCGGTCTGTAAATAATCAAGTCTGGAGCAGACACTCCAGTCATCAACAGCATGAGCATCGATCTACGCAACTGTGATGCGATGACATGTCATCCAAGTCTGCGAGAATGACCACCCGATCCCGTTTGTCGCCTCTTACGACAAACATGGGTTACTGGAGACAAATTCTAACCGGCATCTTCACCGGTTTGTCCTGACCCGTGAAGATCCGGGGTAGACCAGGTCTTCAGCAACCCATGCTTGCCACAAAAGGCGACTATGCTTGTCGTAAGAGGCAACTAACGGGATCGGGGGGTCAGGCTCGCTCACTTGGTTGACATAGGTCATCCGTGCCCAATTGCGCAGATCGATGCTGATGCTGTTGACCACTGGATTGTCTGGTCCAGACTCGATTATTTACAGACCGCCGCCATATAGCTGTAATATTGCTGAGTGCGGCGTAAAACTAAACTCACTCACTCACCGGTTCGTCCGTTTGGACACTCAGTTATCCTGCACACCGCAAGTGTGGGCTTCCTATTGTACTGATATCTTCCTTATGTTATTGGCGATTTAGTGACCGCAATGGACGGATTTATTATATATTCAACAGAAAGATAGACTTCACGTATGTACTGCTACAGTTGTAAATGTTGCAGGTGAATCTATCTACTCCATCAGCCTTCACTCCGACTTCGTGCACAAACTGGGTCCAAAGACCAACATCCTGACCTACATCAACAACACAGTAATGCTGGCAGCTCTCCCAGAGCAGGATAAAGACTACATCCTCAAACAGGTTGAACAAGCAGGTGAATATCAACAAGACATCAACCAAATAGTCTAATAATTTCGAGCGATTTGCACGTTTATTTTCAAATTGGTAATCATACGAACCAAACATGAGATTCAAATATTGATACAACAAGAAATCGATTGATATCTTTTAGTTTTATTCATCATGTATGATACTTGCTATGGCTATCAGTAAAAATGTTTAACAATGAGTGAAATGGATATATAATCCATAGCTGTAACGGCTGCATGCAATATTCGTATATTCTTAGATTACCGAGTTAGTTCTCAGTCATTTAATGAACTTCAAGATAACACTAGTTTTGATTTTGAATTGATTTTAGGGCGTCGATCTAAACTAATATCTTTGGTTCCAAACGCAATTCTTTTACAGGTGAGTCATGTAACTTGAATATTGAACATGAACTGCGGTTGTTAACAACAAACAGATCGTACATTGTTTCTAGCTTAACGTGTTTCCATGTCAGGCGGAGTGTATTCTGAGCTGACAGAAGACGTGATGATATACATGCGATTCCCAGAGCAAATCTGCAGCAACCTAGAGAAGAAATTAAAGTCGATCATTCCGTCACCAAGAAAGAGGTATGTTCAGAATACAGTGCCGGTTTGTATGAGTGGTCGAGTGACGTAAATATAATACAGTAATCTGCGCTAATGACAGTTATAGATCAGCCTTCTTTGGTCGAAATTGTATTCTACCTCAGGCATTGAGGTAGCCCAATGGTTAAAGCGTTCGCTCGTCACGCGGGAGAACCGGGTTCGAATCCATACATGGGTACAATGTGACATGCTGACACGCACTTAACAAAAACGAAAACAATCAGGATTACAATTGGTCTTCAGCTAATCAGGTTTGTTGTAAAGGGACTAACTAACGACAAACGGGATAGGCTGTCATGGTATCACAATTGCCTAGATCGATGATCATGATGACAATGATTGGATTGACTGGTCCAGACTTGATTATCCACTGAACGCCGTCATGTAGCTTGAACATTACTGAGTACAGCATTTTTAAACAACCAAGAAACACAAATTACCTATTGCTATTGTCGGAAGTGTTTTCGGTTACTTACTCACAGAACAAATTCCAATACAGGACCCCTATATTCCGAAGCTGCTCACACGCAGATAGTACCAGCCACAGTAAAGCAAGACAGACGGTTGGTGCTTCGTACTTCATGTCTCTTCTCCAGCGAGCTGTCAATCAACACCAGCGTGTCTCCAGTCTACCAAAGGAAGCGACGCTTCTGTCCCTGTGTATGACCAGCCTCTGTACACAGACTGAAGTTTCTTGTAGTCGGTCTGGTCAGACAGAGGTCCATTGTCATCCAAGGACACTATCCGTGCTTCAGACTCTCGGAGAACTACATGAACTGGGTATGTTCTGGGGCTGGGACGGGTAACCCGGATACCCGGGACGGCTGGGTAATGAGTTGGACCTGGGTACCCGTCTCAATACCCGGACCCGTTATGATCATGTGACTAATAGATTAAACAATGTCATATATATTATTCTTTGATGATTAAAAGGTTGTATTGTCTTTGAAGATTTAGACATAATTAACAGTCACTTCTTTTGAATATAATACATGGCTAAGACATTGAAAGTGTCGAAATTTTAGCCTCCGACCTGAAGAATATATTGCCATTTCTTGCAAATTTGATGTCAGGAATTAACCCGGTTAGGATCGGGTAATAGGGGGTGGGATACCCGGGTAGAAAATTTGGACCCGTCCCAACCCAAGTAGGTTCTGCGTCAGGCATTTACAAGTCTAGAATTATGGATAGGGAAAGTAATACGAAAATCCGTTGGAATAAAAACCTCTATCATATAGATTGGTCCATATGACTACAGTAGAGTTTCTCTAGTGATTGAGGCCTGCCGTCATTCATTACTTATTAGCTTTAGGTGGTTAAAGCTTTGACTCGTCACGTCTTAGATCCGGGTTCGATCCCCATGTGGGTACAATGTGTGGGTTCTATTTCTGGTGCTCCCCTCGTTATATACTATTCACACTTTGCTAAGGATCAAATCATAGATTCAGCAGAAACTATTATGTTGGGTCAAATTTGGTTTAAATACCTAAGCTTCTTGTAAGCATGGGTCCTAGGTCTCAGTATGTCACTGCATCTGAAAACCATTTTTATTGTTACTCGTGTATCAAGTGCATAAGGTTAGATTGAAGTGGCTGTTTGCCTAAAGAGGGGTTACCATATTATTATTTATCCAGTTTTAAATGGACACAAATTCAAATTATAAATCTACGTTTATGTAAAGTTGTGAATATTTTTATCCTTAGCAAAGTGTGAGTATTATACATTTTAGGATATTGCTAAAGGTAACATAAAACTTAACTGGCTCAAAGGTGGAGACACAGGTTATCCTTGCTGCTATCGTTAGGGTCGCTACTCATGATCTCTGCCATTGGGCTGCTTTGCTCAGTCTTCAGTTTTCACCCGCATGAAAAACATGAAATATTCGTTGTAAGGTATGTTTGGTTATTAGCAAATATATATTACCAAAACTATTTTTGATGTTATAATCGATTGTACTATCTATTCCAGGTCACACAATAAAAGCCGGCCACCTGTATCCACCCTCGGCCCCTCTGGACTGTTCGAACCCACCACTGAGTCCCTTGGTTACCTGGAACCATAGTATAAGTTGGCCACTGCCAGATTGGTGCCAGTTCTCTGATACAGGTAAGTGAGGGTCTATGCGAACTGTCATATATATGATATTGTGCATACAGCTACACAGAACCATTGCTTACAGTGAAGAATCAACAGAAGGATGTGTATCGACTCCCTGAAACGGACCTGGAACGCAGTGTATACGACCCCCTCGCTCTCCTGATTGTCCACGCATGGGCAGCAGTGTGTGGCTCTAAAGTAAGATTTCTGCACTTTCTTACTTCTCGTGCTATTAACCAATAATCAATCGGATGGTCAAGCTTCCAAACTTAGATTGCAATTTACTCGGCGTCATTAATGAAGGGTCAAGCTATTGGTCACACTATTTCTTAAAAGTTGTAAAATCTTCGGTTTTGTTTGAAATCTATACAACGGAATGTTTTACAAACTTTCTTAACAGTATGGAAAAACACATCAGGCCGTTGAAATGTCAGTATTACGTTGTTTAACGTCCGATACATTCTGTTACACATGGCACATTTTTTATTTAAATTGTCAATATGGAAATCCACCTGTCACTTAATGTCAGTGACATTTGCACGTGCAAGTCGCTCTATCCATGGAAAGTTGAGGATAATACACATGCATCGATGCTTTTTCATTGTCGTTCACTGTTCTGTTACCTGTTTGAAATCGCAACTTAAAATGAGTTGTTTCGATACTTGCTGAAAGAGGTCAGGATATAGGCCTTTTGGAATATGGTCAAACTCAGTGGCAGGTGGCTGTCCGCTTTAATGGGAGTCAGAGTGCTATTGGTAGACTGTGGAAGAGATTTCAAGCCAATGGGTCTGTGGAATATGCACATCGACCAGGTCGCCCCAGAGTCACAACAGTCCGAGATGATAGGCACGTGATTAACACTGCATTACATAACAGATTCCTTAAAGCAGCCGATCATCAGACAGAACACTTCAATGTTAACAATCTAACGATATCCAGGAGCACCGTTCGCCGACGTTTAAGGACAGCCGAACTCCGCTGTAGGCGACCTGCATTTCGTCCACCACTAAAGTCCGTCTGGCTCAAAAGCGGAGCGATGAATTGCAGTCTTACTCGAAAACTAATAAACATATAATACTGAAAAAACGCTGATCATAATCAAAACATCAGACCAACTCTGTGGTTTTTCTTCAGAATTTAAGTCCTAAATAGAAAAAAGTTGTTTAACAACCTATCATTAAAATTTTGACGCAGTTCACTATTTGTTACGAGGAAGGAGAGCAAAGAGAGGAACAGCCAAGTGTACAGGAAGCACGTGCACAAGTGCCGAGTGCTTTATGTCTGTCGTTTTCAAGTTGGGGGTTGGTCTATACAACTGATGTTTGCGAGTGATGTTTGTCTGTATCTCACAATGTGTCAACACATTAAAAATTATGATGGCATTCTTCGTTCTATTGTTTCTGAGAAACTTTTCTTTACACGTGCTCTATATCATTTGACCCTTTATTATTGACACCTAGTATATTTTTACACCAGCGATGGTCGACGCTGCTCATGTCAATCACTCGTTTGACGTACAATATTGCCGAGTGCTGATGTAAACACGGAAACACTAAGTAGTTCCATCAACCGAAGCATGACTGATACTGTCCGAGAGAATCTGCTTGTACGCACTCACTCTTTTCGGGTAGGCATATGAATGAGTGCTGTAACGATGCATCGAACTGTCGATGGATTGCAATTGTTGAGTCTCCGATAGCAATTAATTGATGGAAGAAACGAAAACTATCGATGCATCGTAATGCCATAATAGTATTGCAATAGTTGGTTGCAATAGACTATCGCAATAGTATGTTGCCACAGACTATCGGTATGGCAATAGTTGTTTCCCCGTCAATAGTCATCCCTAATAGGAATCATTATCTAACACTACGCATGAATGTTGGGTTCTGACTGGCTAACACACCATATTTCGTATGTTCACCGCACCAATTGTCTGTCATTGCATTTGCAATCAATGCCAGTCACCCGTGAAGGTCCGGGTTAAAATGAACCTTCAATAACCCATGCTTGTCGCAAGAGGCGACTAACGGGATCGGGTGGTCAGGCTCACTGGCTTGGTTGACACATTGTCATCGGTTACCAATTGCGCAGATCGATGCTCATGCTGTTGATCACTGGATTGTCTGGTCCAGACTCGATTATTTACAGATCGCCGTCATATAGCTGGAATATTGCTGAGTGCGGCGTAAAACTAAACTCACTCACTCACTCTTACCAACGACAGAGATACAAAATTGTCAAATGACTAAAGGAAAGGTTAGTACACAAAGCTTTCACAACTGACTCTGTGTGTTAAGGACAGCCTGCAGTCTACAGTGCTTCATAGCTTGGTGACTACCCCAGAGTTGATGAAGCAGGAATGTCTACACGGAGCGCTTATACACGTGCATCCTGCCACGATGGGCTTCGCTATACAGGCTGAAGGTAGGGGCGGCTGAGGAGTTAAGTCTGTTAGTATTCCAGCCAGCCTGGTTCCCTGGGTCTGTTGCGCCTGCGCTACACTCCGACACTGACACTGGTTCCCTGGGTCTGTTGCGCCTGCGCTACGCTCCGACACTGACAGTGTCGGAGCGTAGCACAGGGCAACAGACCAAGGGAACCAGGCTGGTATTCCAGCATGTCGCAACTGACGGTGTATGTTTCAGCTGTGTAGGTATATTTCCGAATGACGTCAAAACAGATTTTCGTCTATTGAGTCAGATATAAATATTCTTGTGTGCACTGCGAAAGTCCATTAAGCAGATTTTGTAAAGTGCGCACGCCGGTATTAAGTGTATAGTCAACTTTAAATTGCTTATTTGATGAACACAAGAAACCTACATCGGTGACATATTCAACACAATTATGCAACACAAACCCCGCCCATTCAATTATTTACCAATGGTGGTTCGTTAGTGAGGGCCTCCTCCATGGTGTAGTGGTTAGAGCGTCCGCCCGGAGAGCGGAAGGTCGCGGGTTGGTCCCTGCCTAGCGCTAGGTATTAATGGGTACAAGGACTGGTCAGCTCGCAGTCAGTATAATGAGTCTGAGTGGGCTGTTCATGCTTAACTGCGCGGCATGGTATCTCAGTGAGCTAGCACTATAAAACCAGCTTAAGTCTGGGCTAGTACAAGCAGCAGCACATACAAATACACACGCATACACGTCGTCATATGAGCGAAATATTCTCAAGCACGACGTAAAACCCATTTTCACCTCACCTCACCCAAAGTTTGTGGACGACACATTTGTCTGACTTCCTCTGAACCTGCTCAAAATGGCGATTACGTTGCTCAATCTCGGGCAAGGTTCATGTGAATTCTTCTTCGACTTGAAGTGACACTGAATTAAGTCGAACTGCAACACTTCATTTGAGTAATTAGTGCTTACAAGTGTCAGCTGTCAAAAAAACAATCAAGTAAGAGTTTTGTGACTTTAATCAGATTTGCTGACTGTCAAGATTTTTTCTTTGTCATACTATTCACAACAAATGTCTTAGCTACGCATGCTGACGGTGTGCTTATGAATGATACTATTAATTTTAAATACTTTTATGTAACTGTTCAGATGAGATGAGATGACCTGGTTAAGATAACAATTATATGACGAACAGTCGTAGAAACTTCTGAACAACCAAATGCATACTCTCGTTGATGTGTGTTTTACTTTCAGGCGGTGTTGTTATGAAAGGACAGTTTAAACATCTAGGCAACAACCTTGACCTCCCTCTAGTTCCTGGCTATGACGTTGATCAGAATGAAAATGTAGCTAAACCACAGGAAGATTGGTAAGATGATACATCGGATAAGATAACATTAAACACAAACTGACGAGACCCATGACGAACGGTTAGAATCGCCAGAATTGCTTCTGTATGGCGATTGGCGAACAACTGATGCTTGTCAAGCTCACTGTTCTGCGGTTGTCTAGTCCCAAAACATATCAAAGGAAGTTCTTTTGCGACCCATGCTTGTCATTAGAGGCGACTAACGTGATGTATGGTGTAGGAATCACTGACTTGGTTGACACATGTCAGCCTATCCCATTTGTGTAGATCGATGTCCATCAGGTCAGTCACTGGATTGTCTGGTCAAGATTCGGCTATTTAGACTGCCGTCAAATGGCTGGGAAGCTGCTGAGTGTGGCGTAAACAACGAACAAGCGGACGACTATTCTCCGTTGGCATGAGGGGCCAGGTCACTGTTGTATTCCTACTAGCGTTATACCAAGTGGCTTTGTAATGTGGTACTGGGGCGGTGGGGTAGCCTGGTGGTTAAAGCATTTGCTCGTCACGCCGAAGACCTGGGTTCGATTCCCCGCATGGGCACAATGTGTGGAGACCATTTCTGGTGTCTCTTCCCCCCCAGGACTATTGCAGGACTATGGCTAAAAGCGGGGTAAATCCCAACTCACTCTGTTGGCCTGCTCGTTTCCAGCGAGCATGAGGTGGAGACAGAGGAGGTTGTGTGGGAGGACAGCTGGCTGGAGTTCATCAACGCTGTGCTGGAGTTTGTCAACCCCCACACCCCTGATCTTCCAATCAAGGTGATGCTCGACCCTGAGCAACACATGAAGATCACACACGACTGCGCAAGTGTCCTTGTCATGATGGAGGAAAATACAGGTAGGAGGACGTTTCGGAATCACTGACGTGGCGGCGCCTTATGTTCAAGTGCATTTTACTTGGCCATGCTTTGCTAAGGAGTGGGATTATTTGGGTATACGGAGATATGATGGTGGGAGGATAAGGTCCAACATGTTAAAAGACAAAATAATCAAATTTTCGAAGGGCACCTGTGAGTTTGGTATGTTGCTTTGTCTGATGCACCGCTTTAGTATTTGTCTCCCACTTGTGTAGGTAGATGGTCATGCTGTTTATCACAGATTGATCTGGTACAGACTCAATTATTTACATACCGCCGCCATATAGCTGAAATATTGCTGAGTTCTGCGTTAAACAACAAACCAACCACCCAACTTTAGCATTTGTCAGTCCAGCTGTATGATGAAAGTTTGGCCCAGTCTGAGGCGCCCCAGTTCATCGTTGCAGAGTTGCTTCCCTTATGTTCCCCTCAGGTCGTGGCTTCCAATTTCTGATGTTGAGTGCGTCCACGTTTGTGGAGAAATGACCCTTTCTCGGATTTCATCAAAGTTGACATGCCCAGTTATCGCTGCAATACTCTTTCAACCTATTTCAAGCCCAAACTGGCCCTCGGTATCCACCATTGTCGTAAAGCCCAAATATTTATTGCCCAAATGGGAAGGAGGACACAGGGTAGTATTTTTCCTGTAAGGCCCAAGGAAGGTTACACCTTTTGGTAAACGTTGATTGGCTGTTTTATTTTCTGATACAGCCAATCAACGCGTAGGGATATGGAGATTCCCCACCTCCCGGGTTTCCTTATGGATAATGCTGTTTTCATTATATAGCGTTTTTTAGATCGAAAACTGATATGGGTAATAAAAAACAATAACCAACTCGTGACGGGGACTGGCAGATTATCTTTCCCTCGTTATATTAATTATGTCATTCTCTGGAAAGATCATCTGTCATTCCCCATCACTCGTTAGTTTTTGTCTAAATATGCAATCTGCTTGGTGTTAAAATATTTGGACCCACTAAGGACCACAAACAATTTCTACTGATTGATTTGTGTATTAAAATTACTGTTTTCTTCTTAATATAATGTAAATTTGGGGCAACGTTGGGTGTGTCATATTTGTATCACTCTTTGCGATTCCAACCGCGTCCGTGGTATAGTGGTTAGAGCGTCCGCCCGGAGAGCGGAAGGTCGCGGGTTCGATCCACGATCGCGTCATACCAAAAGACGTTAAAATATGGTACTTGTTGGTCCCTGCCTGGCGCTCGGCATTAATGGGTACAACAAGGACTGGTCGGCTCGGAGTCAGTATAATGTGTCTGAGTGGGGTATTCATGCTTCACTGTGGCATGGTATCTCAGTGGGCTAGCACTATAAAACCAGCTTCAGTCTGGGATAGTACAAGCAGCTATACATACACCCGCATGCACGTCGTCATATGAGCGAAATATTCTCAAGTATGACGTTAAACCCAATTTCACCTCACCTCACCTTTGCGATTCCTTTAGGTATCTGCAAGGCTGGTGGCGTGGTACTCCAGTTCCAGCCATCTGTCAAGAGGAGTCTAGACCAGTCCATTCTTCTACACAACCTCAACCTCGGTGATGCTAGTTCCACCTCCGTTGTGGACAGTGTGTTGCTCTACAGCCTACCCAGCAACAACAGCAGTGACGACAAACTCCTCTTGTACACTGGGCACACGGACAACGAGCCTTCCGAGCAGATTGGACTGGTGTCTATTACAGGTAAGGGTGGTGATGTAGCTTTATGAATAAGGCTCATCGTGCATTACCAGATTTCTGGTGTCCCGCACCCTGCTATTTCTAAAAGTGGCTCGGAACGCTTACCCACAGGAGTTGTTGCTTTTCGGAATATTATCCCCACAGGACATTGCTACCCACCGTAGGATAAGTAAATGAATCCGTTAATTGATAATACACAGTCCGAATAAATTTGTCCAATGATTATGAAACTGAAATGTCTTTATAATACATGCAGCCAAACATTGCCCGTAACCATAGGAAACCAAATCAGATTCCGTTTAATGACTCCGACAATATCCTACACATTTCATGAATCGCTGTCAGTTGGGATGATATACTTGGTGTGTCCTGCTCCATAGATGGCATCCGTCACAAACAGTATGTCAGTTTGTCACCAGAAAATAACACTGGACAAAGTCGAAAAAAATCACACATTATTTTGGTCACTACTGCGTCAGATCTGGAAATACATGTCTACCAAGAAACGTTTAAAAATCACCATTACCCTGTTCAAACAATGTTGAGCAATATCTCACATATACCGATAATTTTGCTAAAACATTTAGTGTAGATGCAATTATTCTCCAACGTTGTTTTTCTACATTACTGAAGACGGTGGTGTGAAGCACAAGAGTTACAGCGTGCCGGAGAACTGGAAGGCGGAGGACCTGGAAGCCGTGGTGCCCTTCATCCTCGCATTTCACACACTGAGAGATGTTGCCAGTGTCTCGCCAGAACAGTCAGCAGTTCTTCTTAATCCTCTCGGTAATTGTCATGTGATTATATACAATACTGGCATGTGTAAGTCGTTTTTCGTTTTCGTGATCCTATCTTGCGGTGCTGTTACCAGCTTAAGGTATATTTTGACATGTTAATATTACGATGATCTTGGGTATGTTACAAACACATGTTGATTTCCATGTTGAATGCTGATTTGGTCGGGTGGAATCTGTTACATTGCCTGTCACCCGTGAAGAACCGGGTTAGAATTGGTCTTCAGCAACACATGCTTGTCGTAAAAGGCGACTAACGGGATCGGGTGGTCAGGCTCGCTGACTTGGTTGACAAATGTAAACGTATCCCAACTGCGTAGATCGATGCTCATGCTGTTGATCACTGGATTGTTTGGTCCAGACTCCATTATTTACAGACAACCGCCATGTAGATGGAATATTGCTTCATATTTTAAATACTGCCCATCACTTGTTTGGCTCAACCTAGGTTAAGTACAGCCTGCCGTTATATAACGTGCATATTGCGGACACCATAGAATAGCATATTGCGGACACCATAGTATAGCATATTGCAGACACCATAGTATGGCATATTGCAGACACCATAGTATGGCATATTGCGGACACCATAGTATGGCATATTGCGGACACCATAGTATGGCATATTGCGGACACCATAGTATGGCATATTGCGGACACCATAGTATGGCATATTGTGGACACCATAGTATGGCATATTGCGGACACCATAGTATAGCATATTGCGGACACCATAGTATAGCCTATTGCGGAACAGTACAGTCTTGTTCGCTAACACGTTTGCAGTAGCTCAAACAACATTCCTGTCACATTTTACAGACACCGTGGCATTGTACATGATCGCCATGCTGACGGTACAAGGCAGTGACGTATTCACCTGCACCTGGGATCATGAGATGAGCCTCATGCTACGGAACGCCTTCCCTAAGGTCAAAATCCTTCATCCTCGTAGTCTCGGAATACAGCTGAAGCAGCTGACGAAAGGAAAGGGTGTGGACGTATGCTTTAAGAGTGATGGATCCGGTAAGTTTATATCAGCTAATTTCATTGATCAGTCAGCCGATTGTTAAACATTATTCAACAGGATATTTAGCAAGTCACATTAGCCGTTACAAATTACCAATTCATCACCAAAACATATACTAGATTAAACTGATAGGTTGATAGAGACGGGTTACGTCATTATGTACTGACGGTATGAGTGGGGAAAACATCAGCATCTAGTTTGACCTGTGTTGGCATTACCCGACTGTGTGGGTTGTTTCATCCTATCAACCACAGATTTGTTTGGTCAGTTGATGTTATCTTGTGTGTTCTCGTATTTTATTTTGTCTTGGCTATTGCTAACCAACAAACACAATGTATTTCAGACATGAATTCAGCAATGGACCTCGTGGCCGACCATGGACGGTGTGTACTGACGGGGAGGCCTAGTGAGAAGGACTCTCTGGGTATGTCGGCCTTCCTGCGGAACATCACTGTGATGAGTGTCAGCCCGGCCACCATCTTCTCTCAGCTTCAGGACACGCCCGACAAAGACATCTTGGCAGCACTGGAGACAATCACATCATCATCAGTCAGAGATGTGAGTGCATTTGGTCAAGTTCGTATCGTAGCCATATAGACCCGCGAAGATCCGGGGTAGAATAGGTCTTCAGCAACCCATGCTTGCCAAAAAAGACGACTATGCTTGTCGTAAGAGGCAACTAACGGGATCGGGTGGTCAGGCTCGCTGACTTGGTTGACACAGGTCATCGGTTCCCAATTGCGCAGATCGATGCTCATGCTGTTGATCACTGGATTGTCTGGTCCAGACTCCATTATTTACAGACCGCCGGCATATAACTGGAGTGCAGCGTAAAACTAAACTCACTCACTCACTCGTAGCCATTTAGGACATTGGACAACTTGGTTTATACGGGTAATGAAATGCTTAAGAGGTCATGGAATTTTAGCTTTGGCCAACTTGGTCCAAACTCTTGAATAGTGGAAATAATCGAAAAAACATCATGGATGTTCTGTTGACATGTTAGCACTATTTTTTCTGGTGTGTTTCTTTTATGTTTACAGGTAAAGAAATGCTTGTAACTGAAAAGTAAAGGAAGGTTTGAGATAATTCAGAGAGAATAGTCATTTATACATGATTTGTCGTACCGAACTTAAACAGAATTGGCCTTGGTGGGTTTTGTCAGAGAGCAGATGATGGTTACCCAGAGCCTCGCGGCCTTCGTTACTGTGTCGAGGAACAGATGAAGTTTTCTCAGCCAATCAGCTTACAGAAGTTGTTCACTCTTTTGGATGGTCCCGGATGTAAGATGAAGGATGTCTTGGACGGTATCCCAGAAAACGACGTGGCATCAGTGGAGCGACTTCAGCTCACTCTGTCGATGAAACCACAGGTGATGCTGACAACGTTTACATCTGCAACACTACGTTGCCATACACCTTCCTCCGAAGTTACTGTGTTTTAATAAATGATGTTTGTCCCTTGTAACTTGAAAATATTTTAGTCAAGGTTTATGACTGAATGTTGTTCATCATATCCCATTCTATGTGTGGATCTTCATGATTTGGTTGACTTATTCCAGACGCTGTGATATAGTTGAAGTAGTGGTAACTTTTTGTTGAATAGTAACAGACTTGGTTTTCAAAAGCCATTGTGAAATAGGTGCATAACACTAATTCTAACACGATATAACAACTGACAACATGGATCTATTTGACCTTATTTCCATTTATTTTGACACCTTCGTTTGGTGACCATACAGATTTCTTTATGTAGTTATCATTGCTGTATAGCTCCTCATTAACACTACCCGTGAAGATCCGGGATAGAATTGATCTTCAGTAACCATGCTTGTCGAAAGAGACGACTAACGGTGGTCAGGCTCACTTATTTGGTTGACACATGCCATCGTATCAAAATTGCGTAGATCGATGTTCATGCTGTTGATCACTGGATTGTTTGGTCCATACTCGATTATTTACAGATCGCTGCCATATAGGTGGAATTTTGCTGAGTGCAGCGTAAACTAAACTCACTCATCTCATTAACACACTAGAATGGTTAATTCGAGGGGCGTGGAGCAATATGTTTGATACACATGTTTATGCTTTGTATTTACACTTCAAAGGAATTATATTTAATGTCAGTTACGAGACAGAACTCCAGATTTCATACGATGGTAATGTTTAAATCGATCTTGTGACTGAACCACAAATCTGGCCATATTTCAGGAGTTCTCCATCACTCAAAATACGTCCTACCTTAATGACAGCAAGGACCAACTGAACATCGCTCGCACCTCGTCATACATGGAGGCCTCGAAACTGCTGACCCCTTCATCTGCCATCTGCTCAGGGCTGTTAGCTCCACCCAACACCATCCGCAACAGCATCATATCGGTGGACATGTCTCAGTACACCTCCGCCTCCACACCCATCATCAGGATCACTGTCGACTCCCCGAGCTCTGCCTGCTACAGAGACCCCTTGGCCTCGCTGGACCTGAAGTTCAGTGGGGTGAAGTTGGAGGGAAGTTACATGGAAGATAAGGTCTTCGCATCCCCCGGACATGATAGAAGCAGGAATGTCCTTTCAAGGTGAGACTCGTTCAGGAAATTGATTCTTCATTCTCAGGGTTCAGTTTTAATTCTTGGGGTACGGTATTCCTAATCATCAAAGCTTGTAAAATGCGATTAAAATTTCGACTGGACATCACGTAAGCTGTCCGCAGACCTGATACCGTACATCTTTGATGTGTTGATGCTGAGTGACAGTCTATTCTTAGTCAATGTTTGGACGGGTGGTCGCCTTGTGGTTACAGGTTTTCCTAGCCTTTGAAACCCATTTTTGGTGTCCACAGTCGTAACGTGACTAAATATTGCAGCAGCTACTTTAAAATCCAACTCGCTCACTCAAGTCGGTACTATAATGTATCATTGTACAGCAACAGAATGCCCACGACTCCCCAGACAATGGATTTCCTCTTTGTGGGCGTGCCCAGGACACCAATGACGCCTCATTCCCCATGTGTGAAGAAGCTTTTGACACCCAGCAGGATCACGCCTCCTCTCCTCAAGCTCAATGACGTTGTCTCCAAGGATAAACCCATCTTTATTGTCCATCCAATCACAGGTACGAGTATGGAAATGTTGCAGTATACATTGCAGATCCCATGAAAGTAATTGCATTTTTCCTTATCCTGACTCATGATCTTTGCTTATCTCCCTTTCCCTTTCGAATGGTAGTGGAACACTTGAATCCCTTGAAGTTCCCGAAGCGGACGTACAATACTCACCCACGAGTTACCTCCCTTCCTCTTTCCCGCGCAAACGTACCATGTGACGTGCCCAGACTTGTCACTCTCTCCCTTTTCGCCCAAGCGGATGGTTGGGCGAGAACTGAGTCCCGTATACGGCAATCTATCATTTGTATTTAGGCCTATTCTTCAAAATGAAGCTGTGTATGGGTTTTGTTTATAATTACGATGTAGGATTTGTACAAATTTGTTGAAATTTATTGACTTTGAGTCGTGGTTTTCATCGTGTTGTAACTTGTTTACAATTCATGAAATCCTGCTGTGTGTGTAAACACGGGTTGTCTCTGGCTGATCCTCACCCCCAATGTCCATCGTGTACAGATCCATGTTCATCCACCTTGCGTTGTAGCTACTGTATTGATTTAACTGAATTACAATTTAATCAATATCTGTCTTATGTTTATAGACGTGCCATAGATCGGGTGAAAAAGACATCTCTAGTCACATGTGATAAATCTGGAGATCAGGCCAAAAACCGTATGTTGCTTGCTGCTGATGTTCATAATAGTGATATGTTGCCTAGTACATTACAGAGCCAGTCTGCGGCAAAGGGGGCTAAGAAAAGGTCGTCAACCTCGCAACCTACGCCGTCCCAGTCTAAGAAGAAGACGGTGTCCTCTTCTACTACGCAGAGAAAGTCTACGAGTACTAGATCTGAGGGCAAAACTACACGTGCTACCGCTGCTACGCTGAGATCTTTCAACGATGAGATCGTACCGCCGCATGAGAAAGACCCCCTATACTTCTACCTGAGGTATCGATGACATCTATGACGCAGTCAATATCCACTACTACTAGATCATCACCTATGAATGTCACAGCAGGCCAGCTGTCCGACATAAGACCTCTTCCTTCGAGGACAGAAGTTGAGGCAAGGAAAACAGCATCGCAGCCGATACAACAAATGCAGAACTTCGACCCGGGGCAGTTCATGACGCAGTTCACCAACAAGATGATGGCTATGATGGAGCAGAGATTCCAGCAAGAATCAAGGAAGACCCAACAGTCTACTGACACCGTGCGCAAACCCACTGGCCTGCGCGAATCTACACCCATCAGAGCTACACCTGCAAGGTTCACGTCTGGAACTTGGGTTGGCACAGCTCACCACATGGAGGTTCGCAATGGGAACGCCCTATGACAGACGTTTGCATAGGGAGGAATCTTCAGCTGCGAAGGCACAGCTCACCACACGGAGGTTCGCGAAGAGATTCCAGAGATAGACGTTTGCAATGGGAACGCTCCTATGACAGACGTTCGCATAGGGAGGAATCTTCAGCTGCAGGTTCGCGAAACCCAGGATGAAGGTTCGCGAAGGGATACAGGCTCACACAGAGATACGTCAACAAGACACAGCTCTCTGAATCAAGACACTACGGACCCCGTCTTTTCGGACTCGGCTTGGATTGCTAGCGGGTTGAGCCTGGAGTCTCCCTCTAGGAACGAAAGTTACACCTACATGATGAAGGATGATGACTTCGACTCCGTCACAATCCCACCGATCGAGCCTATATCCAGCGTACGGACAGTCTATGCACAGCCTTCGCGAAGGCCTCCAAGTTCCAGACGCAGCAATTACCATCTTTTAATAAGAAGAGATTCCCCCTACATCACATGGAACCATTTGTGAAGGTGCCGGAGTGGGACGACAACATCAAGTTGGTAAACTATGCCAGGACTAAGGTGTATAAGGTGGATGATAAGAAGTTATCACAAGTGGATACAGCTTCTAGAAGATCTTTCTTCAGACTAGCAATATCTAGGGCCATCAACGAATCAACGAATTCCAGAATTCCACCACGGAAGAGGATAAAATGATCTACTCGGCCCTCGTCACACAAAAGAAGGATCAGTTCTTCCTATCAGACCACCTCACATCGATTTCGGCGGCAATCCCCTTAATGCGCAGACAGGGTCTACGGGCGTCCTGCTCCTGGAATGACAGATTTACGCAGCCTCTTCTACGAGCTCCGTGGGAGGCGCCTACCATCTTTGGAGGTCTATTGGACGATGCAGCTAAACAAGCTACACAAGACTCCAGAGAGGTGATGATGATCAAGACCATAGACACCTTGGCCAACATCATTCGCCATACATCCCAGAGATACAACAAGTCTAAGTACGCTGGGATACAGAGAGCTAAAGACAGAAAGTACTCCAGCTCCAGAGGCGGGAGGACTTTTTCGTCGCCCCTCAGGCAACTACAGAGGAAACTCAGGAAGAGGCCGCGGCCAGAGAGCTTCCAGAGGTACCAGACGCTGAAGCCAGAGTTAGGAACGACTGGAGTCTTCCACCCCCAGTCGATTCCGCCAGCAGTTACCTCTCCGTTAACACTACGATCATGGCAAGTTCTACTCGGCCTACTAATCTCGGCGCACATAGGAAGGTTACAGCTAAGACCACTACAACGGTTCCTCATAAAGCATCTGGACAGTGTCGACCCTATCCTGCTGCCCGAAAACCTCAGGAGGTATCTACTATGGTGGACACACAGGTCGAATGTCTGTGAAGGAGTCTATTTACAAGAGCCGGCCTTCGAGACACACCTCTACGCGGATGCCTCGTTGCAAGGATGGGGGGCACATCTCAACGATCAAGTAGCGTCGGGAAAGTGGTCTCATACAGAACAAAAGCTCCACATCAATCTACTAGAGATGAAAGCAGTGATCAACGCAGTACAACTATGGTCGAGCTTGCTGAACAACAAGATGATGATGATCCACACAGACAACTCCACAGTGGCGTTCTCTATAAATCGGCAAGGATCCACAAGATCACCAAGCCTACTGCAGCTCACATTCCAGTTGTTCCAGATCACGCAAAAAGCAGACATCTGGATAAAGGCGTGTCACATACCCGGAGCCAAGAACGTACTAGCAGACGCTCTCTCAAGACCACTACACCCGTCGCCAACAGAATGGATGCTCCATCCAGAAGCGTTTCGGAACATAAGGGAAATAGGATTCCCGTCCATAGACCTGTTCGCCACGAGGTTCAACAAACAATTGCAGACGTTCGTCTCACCAGTTCCAGATCCTCAAGCCTGGGCAACAGATGCACTGAGCATGTCGTGGGAAGGACTAAACGGCTACGCTTTTCCACCCCCGATTCTACTGCCAAAAGTACTGATCAAGATCAAACAGACACAGACGCTACAACTGACTTTGGTCGCGCCTTACTGGCCAGCGAGAGCATGGTTTCCAGATCTACTAGAAAACCTAGGAAGTCCAGTAATCAAGCTTCCAGATTGGCCGAACCTACTGATACATCCGCACACCAAGCAAGTCCACGGAAACCCAGCAGTGTTCCAGCTACACGTGTGGACCGTATCAAAATGTGTTTGAAGAAAAGAGGATACTCCGCCAGAGCAGCCAAAGCAGTAACTCTAGCGTTACGCAGATCGACTCGCAACCTATACGACGATAAATGGCTGAAGTTTGAAACTTACGCAAGGCGGAAAGGCTTCACAGCCATAATAGCTATGCATCCTCAAGTGGCGGAATATCTATGTCATCTGAGACAGACCAGACATCTAAAGGGTTCGACTCTATCGACTTACCTCGCTGCCATCAGTACAGTGATTACCATGAAAACAGGCATCAAGTTTACGAAAGTACCAGAATTACTTGCTCTACTGAAATCATTCAAGTTGGAAGACCAACAAAAGAAATTCAGAGCTCCAGCCTGGGACCTGAATGTAATTCTGCGTCATCTTACCAGTGATGTCTACGAACCACTAGACCAGATCAAGATCGAGCTACTAACACAGAAGACGCATATTGGAGATACATGCGCTGGACTACGGTCGAACGACATTCGACAGAGGGCAAAATAATACAGTTCATCTAGGACTTAGATGGGACTTTATTGCCAAGAATCAACTACCTGGTCAACCAGATAGACAATTCCACGTACCAGCACCGTCTACAGTCCTCGGCCCACAAGATATAGAGGACTTATCCTTGTGCCCAGTCAGAGCCTTGAAGATATATCTTCAAAAGACTAAGACGAGGAGAAGGAAATTCAAGCGCCTATTCATCCCATTATCAACTGAGACATCAACTGAAGTCTCAAGAACGACCATATCGTTCTGGATGAGAGCCGTTATATTGAGAGCCTACAAGGCAGCAGGACTAGAACCTCCTAGAGCTTCCAACCCACACGAAGTGAGAGCACTGGCGTCAACCATAGCTCTACATGGAAATTGCTCTATACCGACAATAATGGAGGGCTGCTTCTGGAACTCGGACACGGCGTTTGCCAACCACTACCTCCGAGACATAGCCACTGAAGACGTCTCAGGCATTCACCAATTTGGGCCTCTCGTTGTAGCACAGCAACTAACGGTTCCTCAAAGGCGCTGAGTTGAAATCTCACCCTTTATCACGTTGACTTGTAGATGACTTTTACTAGGAAAAGTATTAGTTTGAAAGTCCATGCGCACAGTCTAGGACAGACTAGCATGAGTGATTAAGATCCTGTGCGGGTAATAACCTTACCTGCACATAAAGGGATCGCAACTCATTTATGATAAAGATCTTATCATAATCCATGGGTTGTTATAAGATATCAAGTACAGGAGAATACTAGTTTATCTATAACCACACGAATCAACATGATTCAACTTGTCTGAGATTGAAGTAAGACAAGGAGTGGTCCCCCCGAGTTACTGACTGACTGACTGAGTATAGTTTTACGCCGCTTTTAGCAATATTCCAGCAATATCACGGCGGGGGACACCAGAAATGGGCTTAACACATTGTGCCCATGTGGGGAATCGAACCCGGGTCTTCGGCGTGACGAGCAAAAGCTTTAACCATTAAGCTACCCCACCGCCCCCGAGTTACTACGCAAGTTGGAAGAATAGGACCACGGAAATGCCGTTTGCAGTGCCCATGGGGGGGATACAGGATGTATCTAAGGACAGCTGTTGAATCCAGTGGCTTGACCCACCACCTATTCCGACGGATTCTATAAGCAAAGATCATGAGTCAGGATAAGGAAAAATATGTAATTTTTTAAGTAAAATTGATATTATATACTTATCCTGACTCATGACGAACAAGCCCTCCCAACCACCCCGTTGAAGACACTTGTGATTTCACAGCAGATCCAAGTGCATGGGCGAAAATATAAGGAGAGAGTGACAAGTCTGGGCACGTCGCATGGTACGTTTGCGCGGGAAAGAGGAAGGGAGGTAGGGAGGTAACTCTTGGGTGAGTATTGTACGTCCGCTTCGGGAACTTCAAGGGATTCAAGTGTTCCACTACCATTCGAAAGGGAAAGGGAGATAAGCAAAGATCATGAGTCAGGATAAGTATAAAATATCAATTTTACTTTAAAAATTACATATTTAAAGTAGTGTTGCATGATTTGAAACGTTTCATGTGCGTTCTGCATTTAGTTCCTTATCTTTCAACTTGCCCTTAATTCCATTCTCTCCGCATCATTTTGTGCGAATTCAAGTTTCCACATAACTATTATCTTTAGAATAGCAACATCTCATTGGGATTGTGGTTAACGCGCCTGCTCGTCAGAAAGAAGATCCAGGTTCGATTTATCATATCCGTACAGGGCCGGTGGGATAGCCCCGTGGTTAAAGCGTTCGCTCGTCACGCCGAAGAACCGGGTTCGATTCCCCACATAGGAACAATGTGTGAAGCCCATTTCTGGTGTCCCCCGCCGTGATATTGCTGGAATATTGCTAAAAGCGGTGTTAAACTATACTCACTCATTTCACTCACACACTCATATCCGTACATATTTGAAGCCCTTTTCTGTGATCCCCGGTCGTGAATCTGCTGAAATATTGCTAAAAGCAGCATAAAACTATACCCATCCACCCAAACCCAATAGTTCTTCTAAAGCGTTACACCACTAGTTTGCTTTGTACATGTAATGGTTCCGTTTCAGCAGGTAATAGTCTGATTATTCTCTTATAACTGAAATAAGAGATTCGGTAAGGGTTTTTCAACAGCCCACTTACCATTTCCAACCTTCCGTTAACCCTACATTTTTCTAAGTTATATTGCCCTTTGTGAACAGCCTGGGGAGTGTTGCTGGTCCCAGACACTCTCATAAGAGGCAACATAATTGGATTGAGTGGTCAAGCGACGATCCCGACGGCATTTGACGTTGTTCAGTACACCAGACAGATAGTTAAAAAGGCAGCTATTTTAAAGCCGGAATGTTTCCGACTGCTTCGTGAAACAACATTCACTCGCTACCTTTGTTTCACGTTTCCGCCTTACATGACATACCAGGTACTCTGCTTCTTCTGACGGCCCTTGGAAAGGCACTGAACGTGCCCTGCTACGGTGTACAGCGCACGCCGTCCACGACGTCATCCTCGGTCACAGATATGGCTGGGTGAGTAAACTACCCGCTCCATTTGTTACTGTGTGGAAACAAACGATTGTTACGTTTCCATGGTCTAGCGAATTTAGCGTCTTCCCAGAGAGTGGATACATGGTGGTTCCGTCCCAGTCCGTTTCATACGGAAAGATATTGAAATATGGTACAAAACTAGGACAGGTCGTAAATTTCTGGATTGTTTTTTTTTCATAAATGGGAGGGGCGGTGGGGTAGCCCAGTGGCTAAAGCGTTCTCTCATCACGCCGAAGGCCTGGTTTAGATTCCCCACATGGATACAATGTGTGAAGCACATTTCTGGTGCCCCCCGCCGTGGATTAATTTCAAAGGTTTTGGTTTTCTAATAGTTGATGTCAAGCTCCTTTATAGGTTTTACCGAAATGCCATCGAGATCCACGACTCCGCTGGACCATACAGGCTTGCTGGGTATTCATACGGCGGGATGATAGCCTTTGAGATAGCCAGGCAGCTGCAGAAGTCCAATAAAAAGGTAGCACTGGAACTTGCTGGAATGGAAAGAACATGTGTATTCAAATAATAACGTAACACTGATTTTAAAATGAAAAAGTTTTCAATTTTATCAATAGCTGTTTTTACAGATTTTATTATGAAGTATCTTCTTGGGTATTATGCAGGTTGAATGTCTTATCATTCTGGATGGAGGGCCTGGTTTTGTCCACTCTCACATAGCCATAGGACGGGAGGAACTTGACAGAGCTGATTCGGCGGTAAGAAATCTAACTCGCGGCGGATTAAAATGCCGACATGGTCATTCCTTGAGGACATAGCTTGTGACGAAACAATAAATGTCACAATATAGCTCCCAACAACCTGAGGGGCCACTGAATGAGAGTCTTGGTGAACTGATTGACTCAACGTCATCGTATCCCAAATGTGTGGTGGCGGTTAGTGGCTTGAATGCTACAGACGCGATTTACAGAACACTGTCATAAAGCTGGAATATTGCTGGGTATTGCGTGAAACAAACACACGAACTGAATGTGTCCATCTTCAAATAATGTTACAGCATTTACATTCATTCTCTTCTGCAGTGATCGAAGCGGACAGAGTATCACTTTTATCAGCATTATTAGTCAACATCAACAAATTGTTTCATACAGCCTTATTCTTAACATACAGCCTGTCTCCAGACAATGCCGATACGGACAATTTAAGTAATCCACTCAATTCTATATTGCAAGTCAAATGATTCCACGGAGATCGTGGCACTGGTGTCGTTCGTGGAGATGTACGGGCCCATCAAGGCACGTCAGTTTCTCATCGGTGCCCTGGGGAATCTACCCTCCGGCTACCCCCGTGTCAGAATGGCAGTGGACTTCATCATGGGCAATGTCGTCATCAGGTGAGGGCAACGTGGACATGGACATCGCCAATGTCTCGAACAAATTAGCTGGAATTCATAGCTGTACTGTTGCCTAAAGTGTTCGTTAACATGAGGATACTTTGATGGTTTTATTATAATGTATTGTAAGGGATTGCATGAATGTCCCCGAATGTGTTGGTATAACTTACACCTTTGATCAGGCTACTGACATGATTGGAACTGTAAAGTAAAAACGGCTATTGTCTAAAATAGAAATGGTTTTGTTTTTTATACAAATCGATTAGTTTGTTCGTGATTGCACGGGTAAATTGTTGCAGTTCTAGAAGCACGCTTATGTTGAAACCAACTAGTAAAACTTTCATAAATGTCATAACGGCTTATTGACATTTGTCTGCATAGCATAGTAAACAGAACCCTTCTCCAAATATGTTGCAAGGGGCATCCGACAGCCCACAGCCCACAGGCCACATCGTTCGAAGTATAGTGAACACGTTGCAATGGCTTAATCATGTTCAGACTGCCGTTGCAGAGTGTGGCGTGTTGTGGGACATCTTCTGTAGACATGTAGACATGTGGGGCGGTGGGGTAGCCTAGTTGTTAAAGCGTTGGCTCGTCACGCCTAAGACCCGGGTTCGATTCCCCACATGGGCACAATGTGTTAAGCCCATTTCTGGTGTCCCCCGCCGTGATATTGCTGGAATATTGCTAAAAGCGGCGTAAAACTAAACTCAGTCAGTCAGTCTGTTGACATGTGGATTTTCACATATGCAATATCTGTCTACAGCGAAAGCCCCAAGAAGACCAAATGGATGTCACTTAAAAACAGAATTCTGAACAAGGACAAGTCAGAAAGAAAGATGGGACTGCATTCTGCTGCCACTGAAGTGATAAGACTCTCGAGGGAGAAGAAAGCGGAAGAGTACATTAACAGCACCTTCATAGCAGACAAGTACAGACCGCAGGAGAAATTTATTGGTTAGTTTAATTCGTGGTTGTTTTTGTTACTTTGCATGTTTCACCGTGTTGACGCAAGGAGTCACTTATGTAAATTGCCAGATCGTCGTGCTTTGGCTTGGCTTATTTAGCTTTCTAGCATATTTAATTGTACACTTCATTTCATTTTGGTCAATAACTATGGCATTTACCAGTATTGTTGGGCGATATAAATTGGTCTTGGGTACAATAACTCATAACAAATCCGCTGTTTTGGTATACTTTGAAATATTTGGGACTTCTGTAACGAACAGGGAAGCAAGGGGGACAAACATATATATTCCATTCCAAATATGAAAGGGGGGTTTCTGGGGAGGGGTTGGGGTCATTCTATTTTTGTAGGGAAATCTCAAAGTTTGTGATTTTTCTTTTCAGGCAATATTCACCTCCTCAGAGTAAAGTCCGACCCGACCATCAGTGTGCCCATGTCATCAGATTACGGGCTTGGTCAGCTCTGTACCGGAGAGGTCAAGGTCAAGTTTGTGGAGGGAGATCACCAGTCATTTCTCAAGAGTGATAAAGTCGAGGTTGTTGCCCAGTTTATAGAGAACGTGTTGTCAAGGGAAGCTCAGTGATGGTGCTGTCGGATGATATCCGGTGATTCCCTAAGATGGGGCTATTGTGATATTAGATGTTTAGGGGTTGTGATAACTGAGATGCTGACTGATGGTGATGTCTGGAGATGCTCCAACTTTGTGGAGGCCAGTGTGACAGCTACAAGATGACGATGGATCAGGTGTCATCTCAGCTGCTGAGTAACACTTAGCATTCAACGTCAGTGACACCTATAACTTCATTCACAGCGATACCGAACGACAGGGGTATATGTATGATCTGTGATAGTGCTATATTCATTGTTTTCTATCGAACGGTGTTGACCATGTAATAACGGGAATAAAATATACCCTGTTGGATGGAAGTCAGATGTTCTTCTTTTTCTTTAGCATATAATGAACAAAAATCAAATTGCATTACAGCCAATATTTCAACAAAGGCATGTTATGTTCATGCTCTGAGTACCAGAGTGGTAAGAGCCTTATTAAGAGGCCTGTCATTTTAGATTCAGAATGGGGCTTCAGGGATGTTTGTTACAGAATGGGGCTTCAGGGATGTTTGTTACAGAATGGGGCTTCAGGGATGTTTGTTACAGAATGGGGCTAGAGGGATGTTTGTTACAGAATGGGGCTAGAGGGATGTTTGTTACAGAATGATTATGAAGTTGGTTACTGATTCACAACACTTATATTTCTCTCAAAGAATAGCCGGACTATGTTATCAGATTTCATTTTCAAGAATTGTATTTGGGAGTAATTTAGTATCCCTATAAAGGTGTTCTCAACTTATAGCAAGAACTTGTGAACATCTTGTCAATTCAGTTTCACGGCAAATTGTTTACATGCGTGCCATAGGGGTTCAAGAGAATTCTTGTGAAAGAGGCGACTAACGGGATCAGGTGGTCAGGCTCGCTGACTTGGTTGACACTGTCATCGTATCAAAATTGGCTAGATCGATGTTCATGCTGTTGATCACTGGATTGTCTGGTCCAGACTCCATTATTTACAGACCGCCGCCTTATAGCTGGAATATTGCTGAGTGCGGCGTAAAACTAAACTCACTCATTCAGTCTATTTTGTTATTCTCTATACAAATTTTACAACAAACTGCGTGCATGCATGCGTGCGTGCGAGTGTGCGTGTAGATTTCAACGACCGACCAAGTCTAGATCATGGTGGCTACGGAAAACACATAAAGAGAATTCTGCCTTCAAGAGGACATGTATCGGTCTCGGTCATTGACATGTCACAGATGTTGCGCGTTGATTCCTAAATTGAAACTAAAGCATTCGGTGTGAAACCAACAGTGGCGGACCCAGAAGTGGGTGCGCACAGCCCCACCCCACTCCCGGAAATGTTTCCCTGGGGAGCATTTCCCCCAAACCTTTGGACTTCATGATTTATGCACGCACGCACGCCACCATCACCAAAATCCACCCCTAAATGATAAGTGGTGTAATGAACAATAACAAAGTTCACAAACCAGTTGGAATATTACAATTGCAGCACTATGGCAACACAAAACTAATATGAGAAACCTATTTCGCAGCTGCACTCCAGTAATATTCCAGCTATATGGCGGCGGTCTCCGTGGTGTAGTGGTTAGAGCGTCCGCCCGGAGTGCAGAAGGTCGCGGGTTCGATCCCCGACCGCTTCATACCAAAAGACGTTAAAATATGGTACTTGTTGGTCCCTGCCTGGCGCTCGGCTTTAATGGGTACAACAAGGACTGGTCGGCTCGGAGTCAGTATAATGTGTCTGAGTGGGGTATTCATGCTTCACTGCGGCATGGTATCTCAGTGAGCTAGCACTATAAAACCAGCTTCAGTCTGGGCTAGTACAAGCAGCCGCACATACACACACGCATGCACGTCGTCATATGAGCGAAATATTCTCAAGCACGACGTTAAACCCACTTTCACCTCACCTTAGATGTTATGTGAGATGAGAGGCATGCCTTAACCCCCCTCGTATATCTAAGAAGACTATGCTGGAAGATTCTACTCTTAGCAAGAGGATTCTGGAATAAGCTCCTTGTAGCTTTTCCTGATCTGTATACATAAAGTACAAATTTAAATACAGAACACCACTGTCCTTCACTAAATATCACTTGGTATTACGCTTGGAACAGTGTTACACAATGAAAAGCCCAGCCAATTAGCAGAGGAAATTCTAAAGTGCGCAATGGTGTGCGAAGTTGCCCCATAATATCGATCGTTGGTTAACCTCACCCAGACATGTCCCATCTATGTTTTCGGTCTGGGGTGATGTTGAAAAGTGGACATTTAAAATGAAGGCACGAAATGTAAAATCATCGTGTTCCTCTTCCTCAATGTACATATTTCCTCTAGCTCTCAAAATCATTCAGTTAATTCAGATTTAAACGTGTTTTGTTAAATCGAAATTAGACATTTCTCGTAAAATTTTCAAATGTCAAATGAATTGTTAAACACACAGACGCGCTTAAGCTGACACACTGTTCATTTCGAAAACTTTTTAAATTTTATGTCAACCCTCATATATGAGGGTATCAATGTCCATCAAAATATGGTTAATTCGGGGATTTCGTGTTTATATTGTTTCCTCTCTTCGTTTGCTTTGATGTAAAAATGTAAACTAGTCTAATCCGTGTGTGTTTTCTAAGGAAATAATAACCGCAATATATAGAAAGGATCAAAGACAATTTGGCAACAGTGTTTATAAGCCTTCTTTAAGTGTATGTAACTGGACACTCAATTACGACAGGGTACTGTACTGAACTCTGCCGTCACCAGGTCACTGTTCTATTCCTACTAGCGTTATACCAAGTGGCTTTGTAAAGTGGTACTGGGGCGGTGGGGTAGCCCCGTGGTTAAAGCGTTCGCTCGTCACGCCGAGGACCCGGGTTCGATTCCCTACATGGGTACAATGTGTGAAGCCCATTTCTGGTGTCCCCCGCAGTGATTTTGCTGGAATATTGCTAAAAGCGGCGTAAAACCCAACACACTCACTCACTGTAAGGTGGTACTTGTTGTTACCTATCATGGCGCTCTCGTGCACGAATAAAGGGACAAAAACAAGGAATGGTAAGCTCGGAATCAGTATACTGTGTCTGAGCGGGGCTACATCTTAAACTGCGGCGTAGTTTCTCAGATGTTAGCACGATAAATCCTTGTTCTCTTCAGATCGCTGTTCGTTGCAAAATGATATCTCAGCACATGAAAACAAGAAATGTGGATTCCATTTTGAACAAATTAGTAAAGATCTGAACATGTCCTGTTTACTTTTATATTACTTTTGGTTTTTCTTATACATATCTGGGTGGTGAGTAGGATAGTGGTTAAAGCGGTGGCCCGAAGACCCGGGTTCGATTCCCATGTAGGTGCAATGTGTGAAACCCATTTCCGTTGTTCCGCGCGGTAATATTACTTGAATATTCTGAAGCCATACTCACTCACTCACTCACTCACTCACTCACATTTCTCGGTTACGCCTTTACATACATTTAAGTGAAATGCTGTTATAAGCAGCAACGTGGAGCTCCGTTCAGAATGATTTGTAGGGAGTGAGTTTCCATGGGTACCCGACACACTATTACTGAGCACCATCTATTTCGTAACACAAAAGTAGACGCTTTGGGATATTTTCAAAAAACAATACGTATCATATCTTCAGTCATGTCAACAATCTATTCCTTTTGGAATTTTCTCTGGAGAAGCTATTCATTATACACGTTCACTCCATATCCCAGCTCTTTCACATTGACTGAAATTGTTTTTCATTTGAGACCCTCATATGTGGCATGATCGTGTGCGGCGTTAATTCCTGCTAATCAAACCTGTCATAGAAAAACAAAAGTATAAGTTTGCTTATTTTATCAAATGCTTGCTAATAGTTTAATTTTTTCACACATATCACTTGCGTTAATTTTATAACTGTAACAATTACTTTGAAATGTCTAGAGAAAGTAACTTAGTATAAGTTTGCTCATTTTATCAAATGCTTGCTAATGTTTTCATCTTTTCAAACATATCACTTGCGTTAATCTTAATACTATAACAATTACTTTGAGAAGTCTTCACAACCAAACAAGAAATGAGGCGACATTTCGATCGTATTACCTTACGCCTGTTCTTTGTCACTGTCATCCACGCTGTGTGTTCGGTACAAATACTTTAAAGCCTCTTGTGTATATTAGATCATTAAAATTCCTCCTACAAACCGACAATCAAATGCCACAGACTAACAGGGCAACTACGAAATCAATCACGTTCCCCAAAGACAAATACAGATCGCAATCTTCCATCGATTTCAGGCACGCGGAATGTTAACATTGTTGTTGATTTTATCAGAAAAGACATTGTCTTATACAATGCCAACAATCTATATCAACTATTAGAGTAATACAAGAAATCAAAGCCCCATATATTTCCCTTGTCGAAGATGCGAAGCTAATTACCTCCCGATTTCCCTCTTGACAAGCCCGACTTGATGCCAGACAATCTCCATCCCTACGGGGTCCTGCCTCTGTATCTATGCTCTTTCCCACCGGTAATTTGATGCCCCGCCTTCCTCATTATCCCAACAGCGCACCTGCTCAGGTGAACTAATCTTTTAATCTTGTTTATCTTGACCATCGCGCTCAATTGCCCGTTTAATCGGCTCCTTTCGCTATCACGGTCTGTCATAGTACGCCACTATATTACAATTCCAAGATAGCTTGGTGTCACCATCGATCCGATTTCCTGATTGTAGTTGGCTCTATCGAGGCCATACTTAGAGTCAACATGCCGATTGCTGTCGCAAACCACTAATTAGAAATGATTTATGAAGCTGCAGGTAAGAGGGAGCATTTTCCTGCGAGCATATGGTATGAAATTCAATAGCCAGCATCACCTTGTTTCTTAGCTAAAAACGTGTGTTGGGATGTGCTCAGGGCATTCATGTGGTCCGACCATATGTACACATGCAATCGATCACCATAGACACGTGCTTTTTACAGCACTTGAGAAAAATATATTAATTTTCCTTCCAAGGAGCGAAGTCTTTTAGGATTGTTTGAGAACCACACCTTAATACCGAAGAAGCTTGATGAAGATGACGAGCATCGCATGTTTTTACAGGTTAGGGGATCTCTTTAAGGCTACTGATACCTTCAGATGTCCTGACGTAATACTGGCTACTTTTTTGTAATAATTCACTATTGATTATTCCTGTGGTTTTCGTTGAAATTATTCGGAATAAAATATGACTGACTTATGAATGTTCACGTTTCCGTTACAACTGAAAGAACGACAACATACTTGGGCAGATATATTGACAATTGTATGTTAAAGAAGGTATTCAATATGAAAACACTTTTATAAGTATATGGTTCAATTCCCAT